TTCACTTTTCCCATATATATTAGTTACCAAGACAATTAATCAAAAGGGATTTTTATGCTGTCATAACTCAAAAACTGTTGGACTGACTTTGATAAAATATTATAATGGAAGTCTTTACTTGTCCACCCCGCCTATTCCATGCTATCTTTAATAAAGCATCAAAAGTTAGCATTCAGGAAGAAAACTGTAGAAGCAACAATAAAATAACTGTGTCAGAATTGTTTTATTATGCCTATTCCTAACCTGCCTTTATGTTAACAATTACAAATATGGCAACAGTGCAAATCTCTGATGTTACATCATACAAGTTAATATTGTGAGATTTCAATTTCTCATAGTGGTGAGTATGGACTGCCTGTTGGGTTGTTGCGCCATGTAGTCTGGTGGAAGTTTACCAATGTTTCAGAGGTGCTTGCTGCTTTCATCATTCGGTACCTCTAAAACGTTAATAAAGTTCTACCAGACTACATGGCACAACCCGAAAGACAGACATTTTCATGGTTAAATGTCAGAATATCTTGAATAATGGAAATTACTAACAGCAAAGGATTAGTAAAGTGTAAAATTATTAATTTAAAATTCTTGATAGCCTCAACACACAAACTGAAGCATTTACAAACCACAGGCATTGCAAGTTCTTATCAAAACTTTGTGTTAAGACATAACATGATGACCATACAAACTTATAATTTCCCCAAAATTCTACCTTTCCAAATGCCAAAACTCAGCAAATAGGGATCATTCTAGAGCCTGTGTTAATTTCATGTGATGCATTATTTTCCCATATCTACACCAAGGACACAACTGTCTCATCACTGTGCAACTATATTAGTAATAATGAGCAAATTTCATACTCATTATTTAAACATATCATAACTTCTCTATTATAACGTTTTTACTTACGTTTGTCTGTCACCTTGGAGAGATCAAAGATGTGCTGAAAGAAACTGAGTTGTGTGTACAGCTCATATTCAGTGTACTGAAAGAAAGAAGAAAAAAAGATACTGCTGTCCATAATGTTAATATAAAATGAACATCATTCAAAGAATATGAACTGAATCACAAGGAACTAGTTACCACTTTTAACTTAAATGCTACTTGAACTTATCACCAAATCTCCACTGTTACCAATAAAAAATACATTTTATAAAAACTTTAAAAAATAACTATTTAGTAGCTAAAATAAGAATTCTTCTTTTTCCCATTTGCTTCATGAACTTTTTCTGAATGTGGTATAAATAGCACATTATTTCAGTTCAGTTTTGATTTGCTAAGCATAATGTAACATATGTCACCCTTTCAAAATACTTTACAACATAAGAATATTTTCTGCACATACAGTGTTAATCTGCTCATCAATTTATTATAGTTTATTTAATTATGCTTTTTCAGTAGCTCTGACCATGTAGTGTTGAAGGAGGATAGAATAATAAATTGGAAAGGAAGCAAATGTTATACTGACATAAATTTTGTTTTATATAATTTAATGTTTAGCTTTCTAAAGAACATATAGAAAGGAGTACTAATTACACATTCATGCGCACACACAAAATGTAAAAATTTTCTACAAAACTTTGTTAATGTGCGATCACACTTCTTTAACTAAATCAACTTCAGACACATACTAACCTCTTTATACATTATAGCAGACTTGCATAAATTACAATGTGGATAGTTCCCTCTCAGATCTGTTGGGACCCTCCGTGTGCGGTTGGTACAAGCTGGGTCCTCGCATACCAGCCAGTTCTATGAAGATAAAACAGGCCACCACAATGTCAGAAAAAGTGTTTAAGCCTTTCAAAGGGCAAACCTCATCTAGATAACATTTAATAATTCAGTTCCTATCTCCAAGAAAACATTACAGCATTATTGTTATACAAATCAATCATTTGAATATGTTTAGGAAAAAATTTGCTGTTTTTTTAAAGTAAGGAATGACACACATTAAAGGGGCTATGTGGGAAACATTCTAAATCACTAAACATAAATGTAAGTAGTACATATAGTTTCTGCTATGCTACAAAGTGGTTAGCCACTACCAAACTCAGAGGATTTTATTTTCACAATTAATAACAAGATGTACATTAACCTATAGAGAAGACTTAAAGGTTCTCACTATTGTCTACGAACTACATGTTTTACTCTGGATAGGTTGAAAAGATTCTAAAATGAAACAATAAAAATATATATGTAAGAGAAAACACTGCTCAGAGGTCAGAGGACAGAAAATAAAATACCCTGGCAGTATGAACACAAAGAAAGAATGGGAGAAAATAATCAGATAAAAGAACTAATTCAATGTACACAAACAGGAAGGTGGTGTGCAAGAAAAGCTGTCCCACTATACGCCATGTAGGTGACTGGGGGGAGAGGTGGTATAGCTCCTTCTCATTCTTAACCTCGGCACTAGGTGGGGGCGAGTGGTTAGCGTCATGCCCCGGCCGCGCTTTACCCCAGGAAAGGACCATGATACCCACTGGACATGAGGCTGGGTGGGCCCCAGAGCCGGTCTGAATGCAGAGGCTAGAGAAAAAATCCTCTGGCCCCCATTGGAAATCGAACTCCAGTCGTCCAATCCATAGTCAGTCACTATACTGAGCTACCCCGGCTCTCAGGTGGTGTGCAAAGGGACTAAAAATATTGTAGTTACATGGAAACCATAATGTATAGAAGGAACAGGACATAAAAAATAAAGTTATGGGGCATAACAACAAGAAGGCTATAAAAATGAGAAAACCTTAAGAAGAATAACAATATTTTCAATACTGAAACTGCTATATGCCATCATGAGTATTTCTCTCCTTTGTGTTAAGCACAAAGCTCTATTCAAAAACAGTAGTTTCTTTTAACAATTTATCTCTTTGATAATCAGCTACTTGCTCAAAGAAAAACTCTACTTACCTTGTAGTAATGATGGATGAAGTTCTGTGTGGCTATTGTGAGGCTGTTCTGAACACTGGCCAAATACTGGACTGGACTAACAGTGCATTGTGGATTTGAACATTTTTCCAGTGAAAAGTGCATACATTTATTGTCCTGAAACATGTTCACATGGAAAAAATTTAGAGAAAGTGAAACAACACATAACTCAACTTGATGTACATCCTGAGTTTTAACTATAAATTGAATGAAATATGCAACAAATTCTTCTGAAGTAAGAATAAATAAATATAAATGTTCAACTCTTATCAGCCACTGCTGGTCTTTTAACGTGCAACAAATTTTTAAAATCAAAGCACTGCCATACAGACAGAGGCACGAAATAAAATTAAATAAAAATCCCTTATGTAGACATAAACTGAAGATACTGTAAGTTTGTCCAACTCTTCTTCTAAAACTGTATCTTTAAAACACTGATGTGACCATAGTTTAATCAAAAATAACAGCCAAGAAAGGAGAAAAGAAAAAATTGTAAAGTAAATTAAATTAAATGGGACAAACAGATGCTCAGGACTTACAATTTTCTTGACAGGACCATCCATAACAATTTCTGCCTTGCAAGATTCATTCTTGCATATAAACTTGAACCTGAAATATATAATAAATATTTAACAATCACAGTTTGGATTATATTACTTCACCATATGACCTACAGCTATTTTCATAATGACCTAACCAGTCTGTAAAATGGTGGGCCATTGCCCTAAAACTGGTTCACTAACCCCTTAAAGATATATAAAACGTTTCTAGGTTTTGCCAGGAACAATATAAAGAGTACTTTAATTTTCCATATGCCTGAACTAGGAGACCCATCAGAAAAGCAAATATTTAAGGCACATCCAGATGGTGCTGCCAGTTCCTGAGCTGAGATGTACAGTTACTGTACTTTTCAGAAAACTAATTTGTGAAACATCATGTAAAATTCAGTTGAGCGAAGACAGAACAAGTATGAGTCTCAAAACATAAAGGAAGACAGAAGAAAATGTATGAGAAATCACACAGATTGATTAATTCATTCTGATTTTTCAAGGTAGGAATGTGAACTTGTAATATTTTATACAGGTTCCGTCTGTGTTATACATTTGTTATGACAGGTATTACTGATACAAAAATATTACCCTGTTTATAAAGCAGATGCAGATATAAAGGATAAATAATGAATGTATAAATTGTGTTTAATTTTCATTTACATGTACACTCACTTTTCACAGTGGCGGAACCTTTCCTCATCTGAAGGAATGAGTTTCTCACCAATACTCATTTCTTCATTTGCAGAACCTCGCTGTACACGGCAGTAGTTGCTTGGATCCAGACCTGACATAAATCTGTTGCTTTAATATAAGATTCTGTACATGTTGGGAAAATATGTAAATATTTTATTCTGGCACTTTGTCTCTGACAACAATATTCAACAAGCTATAATTCACATTTAGGCCTATGTGACACCATAAATCAAAGTCCAAGGTCCTTTTCAATATAGACCATCCCACTTATGCCTACATTTCCAAGTGATGTTATGCAAGTGTTACATAACTGATAATCACGACAATTATTTCTGTAATTTTGTGATTTTTGTTTTTTATATTATGTTATATTATATGTATTGTATTAAGAAGTGTGTAATTATTTAGTTTTTCTGTATTTGTAGGGCATTCATGATGTAAACCCCCAGAGCTTCTCTCTGTTGAAGGCAAACATACATACATACATACACACACACACAAACAATGGTAATCCTTCTTAAAAGAATGATGATGAGTATGAGTTATGAAACATCTAAACATGCAATTTTATCCATTCTCCTTATCACTTTGTTCATAAATGCCCTTAATTTCTGTAGATGTGTTTGCCTGTGTGTGAGCTGACTCACCAAGGCATTCAGCAATGCGAGCAGCATCAGTGCCTTCAATAGGGTCGCACAGCCGTGACACAACAGGATGAATCTGCTGTGAAAGGTAGTACTTCACATCAACCTTCAAGTTTTCATTAGTTTTCAGCTCTTCCACATGATAAGCCCTCTGTGTGGGTCCAAGGTTACTTCCATCCTATACAAGGCACAGTTCAACATAATGATGAAATCTTTGAGATGATAAAGTTGCATCATATTGTGATAAATATATATTTGTTTAAATCTTGTCAATCTAATCACAATAAAATTCCTATTAACTATTAAAATATTACTATAATTAACATTTAAACATTTAAAATATATTAAATGATGTTCTCTATCGAAATGTTCGATTTACATTAGATCATCACTTTTTACATTTTTTTTACACGACATGTTTCAGTTCTAAAAGAACCATCTTCAGGTGTATAAAATTATATAAACTTAAATATAATTTCTTAAATACAACTTTTAGTCAGATGTTTATCAGATTTCAAATGATGTTTTTCTTCCAGATTTTATTGTATTTTTAATATCGTATTCGAAGTTGTTCTGTA